CATGGCCCATGTAGGTCTTCACATGGGGCTGTCTTCACTTAAAGATACCAGTTAGGGGGTACATCCTACTCCAGTATGACATCTTAACTAATAACATCTGCAATGACCCTATTTCTATGTAAGGTCACAATCTGAGGTACTGGGGGTTAGGACTGCAACACATCTTTTTTGGGGAAGACACAGTTCAACCTGCAACACATACCTACATAGGCCGTACGGCCAATTTACCCACAAATCTGTTACACACCTAAGCATACGGCAGAATTACTCTCGAATGTGCAATCCTCACACAACGGGCCTATGACACTGCGGTGAGTACCTCTGCTGAGAATGTGTCTACTGTGTGCTTTTGTAGCCATCAAATGTTCTTAGTTGTGGTATTAATAAAGTAGTCTTGGTGTTATTAACCTCCCTCCAGAGAAAAAAATGAAAAAAAAAGAGCTCAGTACTCAAAGGTAATATTGAAGAATAATTTTTATTAAATTTATTTTAAAGGATGCTTTAATCACTGCTTAAATAAGGTCTATGACTTGGGGAAAATTAATTTGATACAGTAAGCAAAATGCAAAAGCACTATTGATGCATCCGACTGCCTCGGCCCTTCTGCAGAGCTTCTGTGGAGGCCAAGATGGCCCTGCCCTTGGGGGAGCGAGACCATGGGCAAAGGTGAGAATGACCCAATGACAGAATAATGGAGGAGCTGGGGGCAGTCGCTGAGACAGTCTGGCATAACAGCGTATGAATGCATACACGATTTTTTCCTGTTGCATGCCAATCTGTCCCTTAAAAAAAATATGCCAAAGAGACACTTCAATAGTTTTAGAGAAGAGAAAGACTTATCTTGGTACTAAATAAACTTACCAGAGAAAAAAATGTAAGGTAGGGAGGGAAATTGTCAATCATTTGTATATCTTATTAAGTAGAATGCATGAAAGGTTTTTAGGAGGTAGAGAGTATTATACATTTTTTTTGGATAAGAAACAAGACCATGTCAAGAGTTCAAAGGCTCCTCTTCCATTCTCACAGAAACTTCCTCCCTCTCCTTCATGTCTTCCACGTGGCTGTGGCCATCATCATAGCTCTGTTCTGCAGCTTTAATTGTCATTTTCCTCTGCAAAAATCCTTAGTGAATCTCTATTACCCAGAACAGTACTTTTCAAACCTTTAGTTTTTCATAGCAGAACACTTTTATTCAGGAAAATTCTGCACAGATTTTATCTGTTCCTATTTATGTATATTTATATCAATTTATATATTTTAATTTATTGGATAAAAGTGGTATTTTTGAAAGATAGATTTTATTAGTTCAGATTAATTATATTTACTTATAATCAAATTAACCAGAACAAAGGAACTGTTTTGATCGACTTTTAAATCATGCAGTGAAACACATATGAAAATATTAGTGTTACTCAGCACCCATAGTCAATTAATTTCTGCATTTTATAATAAAACCCTGATCCACGCAGATAATCATAAATCTGTTCTCCACATTATATGATCTTTTAAAAATGCACACCTGATTACCATATTTCATCAACTCTAAAATACCATCAACTGTAAGTTATATCATTTTGTGTATAGCCCAGAAAGAAAAAAGAGCTAATTAAATTTTGATTTTGAAGATATTAAAATGTAAAAGAAGTGTACCTTACTTCCAGCCACTTCGTTCTCTTAAAAATCAATGCCTCTGGGTCTCTCAGCATCAGGACAAAGCTCCCCATTATGTTCTAAGTGGCCTGTGTGGCCTCACCGCTGTGATCTCTGCACTCCCGCTGCTCTGGCCTTCTTTTCTGTTGCCTAATCTTCCAGGTCGCAGATCAAGCTTCACTTCCTCTGAAGAGCCCTCCCTGACCTCCATGACCGGGCCACACCCTCAATCACTTGGGTGTCTCTCCTTGACAGCACTTACATTGGTTGACATCCTGTTTGGTCTACATCTTAGTTCGGCTTATGTGCTTCTTTGCTCAGCATCTAGCTCCACGAGGGCAGAGAACCTGTGCTTTTGCTCTATATTGTTTCCTTAGTGTTTGGCATAGCACCCAGCAGCACCCAGTACACGGAAGGCACACAAACATTTGTTGAACGAATGAGTTAAAATCATGTTGTTTTAATTGCTGATTTTAGGATACTCTTCAATTCAGAGGATCCTAGAGATCCAAGAATGTTGAGACTTTTGAGTTGAATCATTAACAATATCTACCAAATTTTTGTGTCCTTATCACAAGTACCAAATTCAGATCGAAAATTACTATGTGTTAACTCTGTAGCTTGATGTAAAAATCACAAGTTGGTCAGTGTGTTTTCATGAACTGTCAGTGTTCCAAGATTCTGTGCTGAGCTGGTACATCTGAGCTTCTCCTATTCTCAGGCTTTATTTCTCTGATTGTACCTGTCTTGTACAGGCACGAAACCAAAGAGGGTTGGTCACAGCTCAGCCTTCCCAAACAATGACACCTTTGTCAGAAATTCTACTGTATTCACAGCGATGACAGATGCTTTCCTTTGTGGTCCTCATCAAAATATGTTCATCTAGATTTTGGAAGCACAAGTTAAGGCATTAAAACTTGATATATGAAACATTTGAGGGTGTAGATATTTCCTTCGTATTATTTTAAATTAGTGGAAAATATTCCTAAAGAGGAGATTTGAATAAAATGTTTGTGGAACCTCAGAAGTCCATTAATTTGTAAAACCAAAGGGTAATTTGAAAACCACTGACTGGCTGAATCAGTCTTAATTCTTGATTTACCAGGCACTTCCTGATCTGCTCCTTGGCCTGCTCCTCAGTGGTCCTGACACCCAACTTTACATCCTGTAATAGCGTATCGCTTACCACTCGACCCAGGGACAAGTACTGTGTTCACTCATCCTTGGCTCACAGGACTGTCTCCAGCTCTTGTCTTGGTCTCAGCTCACATCTAGTCCTCATGAAGTCCTCCCTGACCTACTCCGGATGCCATCCGACGCTCTCACCAGATGGCCCGGTTTCCGCCATGCAACCCCGCTGCCTGCAGTTCGTGTCTGTCTCTCGGGAGATGCCTGAGGTAGGTGCTCCGTCTTTGCTTTGCTGGCATGGACCCAGAGGAGGTGTGCAACCAGCACTTCATGGAGCCCACCTGGATGGTTTCAATTTCTGCCAGTGAAAAAATTTGTATCTTATGGTTTTAACCTGTATTTCCTTGATCACTAGTAAGGTTAAGCATCTTTTCATGGTTATTAGTCATGTGTATTTCTTCAGGGAACTGTTCATAATCTTTGCCTATTTTTCCATGAGCCTATTTATTTTATTAATTGTGGGATTAATAAGCTCTGAATACAAAGTATATTAACCTTTTGCTTGGTATCACTTTTTTTAAAAATCAACATTTTCTCCAGGTAATTTATTAAAGTATCATTCATTAAACAAAATTTTACTTAATTGTACTTGATCTGCTATTCCTTTCCTTCATGGCTACCTGATTTGGAGTCTTGAGTAGACTCTACCTCCAGATTAAAACAATGTTCTTATTTTCTTATGGTACTTTCGCAGTGTATGTTTGTGTGTATAGCTAGCTCTTAGCTCTTCAGCCCATATAAAACTTTTAAATATGTAGTATGAGATAGAAATTTAGGTAATTTTTTCTCTTTTGTGACAATTTTGATAGCCAATTGATTATCAAAATAGAATGGTTCTCTATTTCCCCACTAATTTGAAATGTCGAGTGGGTTATTTACTTATTCACTCATTCATTCATTCATTTATTTATACACCTACAGCACCTGGTCTTCCTAGGTGGTCTCCCATCCAAGTACTAACCAGGCCTGACCCTTCTATCGAGTGGGCATTTTAAAGTTGACTCAAAGGAGGGAGAGGATCTGGATGTAGGGAGACTGACAGGAAGTGACCCAGATGACTGGGGTCAAGCGTATAGTGACAGAATGGGAAAGTAAAGAATGTTATTTAAGAAGTGATGAGCACGGTGGTCCTGGACCAGGATATTTATCTGAAGAATTATTTGGAGAAAAAATAGCCAACTTAAATTTTAGTACATAGTTAAGAGATCATGTTTTTGGTTTTTTAAATAAAATTCACTATTCAAAATAGAAACTTACAGCAAAGTTAAAATAAAACATTGTTAATCTGATTTTTAAAAACCTACAGCAAACATCATACTTTACGGTGAAATATTAAAGCCTTCTTCAAAGTCCAGGAATAAGAGAATGCCTGGTATCATTTCTTTTCAATATTTTAGCGGAAGTCTTAGCCAATGCAATAAGGCAAGGACAAAGAAGATATGAGGATTAGGAAGAAATATATGTCGTTATTTATAGATGACATGAATGTGTCAGAAAATCTAAAAGAATTATAAATTTTTAGAATTAGCAACTGACTTAGCAAGATCACTAGATAAAATGAAATTTACTAGAAGCAAAATCTATTGTTTTTATTACTAGCCACAAAAAGAAAATACAATTTTAAAAAGGAATTTAACTTACAATATAATAAAGAAGTCAAACATCTAGAAATCTAACAAAATGTAAGGACGACTTCTACGCTATGAGAAATCATTGAGCAAAATTACCTAAAAAATTCTTTAGGAAGGATATATCAATTCTTTGATAATAATACCTAAAAAATTTTAAAAGGGTATACTATATTTGTGGATTGATATTTTAAAGATGTCAATTCATCACAAATGGTTCTATATATTCATTGTAATCCCAATCAAAACATCAATAGGTATTTTTGTGGAAACATAAGCTGATTGTAAAAATAAAATGAAACAACATAGTCGTGAAATGACTGAGTCATTTTCATTGAAAGGTGAAATCTGACTAATCTGTCATTAGAAGAAAATGTGATATAGATCCTTAACATTTTTCAGCATTTGCTACCATATACGAGACACTGGGTGTTTTCCAAAGATTATTCCACAGAACCTCAGTTCCTGAGATGCTCAGAGAAAAAGGGGTTCTGGAATCACATCCCATAGGAAAAACCCCACGATGCAGTCTCCTCTTGGAGATTTATGTTGCACAGTAAGATTTTAAAGGCTCTGAGAAATTCTGGAGAAGAGAAGCAAATTGAATTGTGTCTAACCCTGGTTTCTCTAATCTTATTTGATCATGAAACCTCTCTTTGAGAAACACTGGCCTATAGTGCTTTGTGTATTTATTTGCTTCTCACCGTATCTGTGAAGTAGCCAAGGGCTGAACTGTTCACTTAACAGATGAAGAAATGGAACCTCTGGCAAGCGAAGATTTTACACCAGGTCATACATACAGCTAGCTACTAACACAGAATCGTCGATGCAAACTCAACTCTTAAAAAAAAAAATATTCCAGTGCTTTTTCCGGGGTAAAACACTACTTTCGTGTGAAACGGCCTTTTAGAAATGGAATAAACCTTAGTGATCTCTTAGACTAGTAACCTTATTATGTTGATGAGATAACTTGGGGCCCAAACAAATTAAGTGTCTCGCCCCAGGTCAAGAGCTTGCAGACTAGCAGGAGGAATAAAAGGATCCATGACTCAGTGACTCCCAATTAAGTGCTCTACTGCCCCATATAATTAGGAGGCAAATCTGTGTCAATGCAGAGCAAGACCAAATTAACTGCCCAGATTGAGTAGGCACTGATAGGTGCTGAATGATCTACCTGGGGACAGATGATACTGGAGCTATGTCAAGTTGTCAGGGAATTTTGAAACGAGGATTTAGGAGGCACTTGATGACTGGGTGATAACATGGTAAAGCATCAAACAGTGTTATTTTTAAGTTTAATCACATTATTTGTATTATTTTATCCCTCTCTTCTAAAAAGTGCCACATGCCACTTTAAAAATTTAGAAGGAATGTAAATTTTGGATTAAAAGAGATTTCACAACTCTAATGGGGCACATCCTGGAATGTCACAGGCTGGGAATTTTTCTGAAGTGTGTCAGATATGAGGAATAGAAGAGTAACGCAGAGGGATAAACACCTGGCTGAACCTGTAGGGCAGGGAAGGGTATGTTTACAGCAGGTGCTGCTGTCAGGAAGGGCAGCAGGGAAAACCAAAACCCTCCTCGAGCAGGGTGGGGCTGAAAGTTCTAAACTGCAGTGAAGAAGGGGAAAACCTATCTTTTAACGGCAGAGGGAAAAACGAGGGACCATGAGAGACAGACAGCTGAAAAAGAGGGGGTAAGTCAAGCCATGAATAATAGGGAAGAGGAAAATAAATGAAAGCAAGTAAGTACTGCGCTGACTTTGGGGCTTTTAAAGAAGCAGCAGTTCTTTATGTGTGGGAACAGTTTGGCTGTGGCCGGTGCCCACTGGGCAGAATGGGCAATGCAGCTTTGAGGTCTGCAGAAACATTCAGCTCCATCGGTGGGAAGGTTCCATTAGGGCCAAGGAAAGAGTAAGTAAACACAAACCCGGTTACTCTCCTCTGCTTTATCTTCCCCATGTAGTTGACTCTTGGGGACTTCACATAGTGGGCAGGCCTACAACAGAGCATGATTTAGGGCTTCCTGGGTCCCCTGGGAAAATACTGTCAGGATATCAAGTTGACTGTACCCCATCCAGCTCCCAAAATGTGCAATCTGGTGTCTGCTTAATATCATTTCAATTTACTTGAGAAATTCTGTTCTCTAAGCTTTATCATTTCAATTTACTTGAGAAATTCTGTTCTCTAAATCTATTCAGTGCACCACCTTTGCTTTATTTTACTCTCTGTATCTTTTTTTGTTTTTAAGCTCATTAGTACTATCTCACACCCAACAAGGCAAGAGAGGGCAATCTTTTAGTTTCTCGAAAGTAATTATTATCTACACCAAAAAAAAAAAAAAAAAACCAAAAAAAAAAAAAACAAAACACCCACAAAAAAGGTCAGGAGTTTCTAGACACTAAATCTCCTTAAAATTTCACAAATAACCATTAACCTGTTTATAAATTCGTAGAATTAAAACTACCCCCCACCCCCGCCAAAAAAAACCCAAAAAAACACAGCAGGATTTTTGGTGACAAGTTATTAATGCTGCCCATCATTTAATGTGGAAGGTAATGTTGGTGAAACAGCTGGAAGCTGGAGCGGAGTAGGGCAATTTCTCTGAGTTAAGAGTTATTCATTTACGTTTTCATTTTAAACCTCTATTGCTTTTCTCTGGTAATAAAAGCAAATACTCATTTAGAAAAATTCAGAACTTTCAGAAATATGTATTGCAAAAGGTGAAAGCAATCCCTAAGAGCACATCACTCTAGCTTTCTCCTCTAACATTTATTTAAAACAAAATAAAACTGTTGTTTTTTTCAGCGGGATCAAATTGTGTTTAAACAAGCAATGTGATTTTCTTAATGTTATATTTAGCCTACTGAATAAATAAGAGATCCATCACGTCAGTTTAAAGTGGTTGTATAGTATCCTATAGGAAGATGTTTTTACCACTTTGACTTTGGTGAACATACTTGCTCACATACCCATGCATACATGTGAAAACATTTTTGGATAAAAAATCCTAGATATGGATTTGCTGGGTCAAAGGGTGCATGTATTAACATTTTTATTAGACTGTACTCACATTTTAAATCTTTAAAATTGGTCTGTGGCTTGAAATGGCATTGGCACAATTTGTTGCAAAGTCTCTTAGACAACGGCCACCAAGTCTAGTTTTCTTAAATTCCTTATTCAGAAGTCATTGAGATGACAGTTTGCTGTCACGGGCTTGCATTTGACCTCAGTTTGTCAGTGCTACCACGGTTCTAAAACATATCAAAAACATTTGCCATTTTTGGGGAGTGAGCTTTTGGATTTTTTTTTTAGATGACATTAGCTTCAGGTATCTTTTTAGAGTTTTGAGTAGGATTTAGTAAGATAAATAAAATAAGACTAATCTACGCAATTTTCTTCTGCTGGAGTGAACAGAACATGCTGGAGCTGTAGGGACAACCACCTGTGTTATTGGCTGCAAGAGGCAATACCTGCTAATTCTCATCTAGTTAGTGTATGGTTACTATTTCTACCAGTTTTTTAGTATTTGCCACATTAAACCTAAGCCACTCCAGTTCTGACCACCTTAAGCAGCGCTTCCATTTTGAGAGCACAAAGAAGCCAGAATTTCAAGAGCAAAATACTTTTAATAGTATTCTCCTGGAGCTCCCATTCTAAAGTGAGTTTTGCTTCCTCTAGACGTACAGATTTTAAAATGTCTGTGCTATTTATTAATGTGGCAATTACTCATGAACTTCCTTTGGACTTAAAACAAAAAAAATACAGAAGTTAAACCATTTAAGTGTTTATATAAATCAAATCACTAACTATATTCTACCCACTATATCATATGCTCCACGAAGGGAGGGACTCTTTGGTTCACTGATTATTTCCAGCATCTAAAACAGTACCTGGCATATAAAAGGTGTTCAGTACAATTGTTGAGTGAATGATAAATTCTTGGAAGTCAGGAATCTTCTTATATTTTGCATTCCCATTCTTAAAAGCCAAGTTGCTGATTAAAATTAAGGAAAGGATCGTCATTCAGGAACACAACTTAAGACTTTCTTAGAAGCTAAGTGTGAAATATCCCTGGTGTAAATAAAATTTAAGAGTCTTTCCAGCCTTAAAACTTATTATGAACTACTAGTTTTTGAAGAATTAGAATCCTATACACACACACGCTACTAAAACTAGAGTAAGGATAATTGGGTAAATCTTTGATTTAGAAAGCAGTGTACTGATTTTTCGAAGCCTTCGGATCATCGTTATAAATATCAGATTTGAGCATTAAACTACATTGACCCCCAAGCTGTATTCTATAAGACCTTTTTTTGAAAAATAAACAAACAAAAAACAAACAAAAACATGGCATCAATTAACTGGAAATGCCTCTATAAGCCTAAAAAATTATTTTTAATGTTACTGTATAAGAAATCAAAGGTAATATTTATGTACAACATTTATATTTTGGACTTTGCCAATAGTGATATGACACTAATAATTTGAAAGGTCAGTCTTCAAATCCATGTCAAATGTGCAGTTATTTGGATTTAAAGCCAATAAAAATAAATACAGTAGAAAAGAATAAAAAAGGGAATCAGTTAAAGAAGGATCCATCTAAATCTGGGGCATATTTTGGATAATACACAATATTTGGGGGAATAAAGGCAGAAAGAGAAAAAATATACAGAAATCAATTTTATAAAGTCACTACAGAAAAAAGTCCATCTTATGAGACACAATTCATTTTAGTCTTTTAATACTTGTTTATGTCAGACCACCTCTTACTGGATGTTTGGTTTCCTGTGTTGAGACTTAGAAAATTATCTTGTGGTTAGAAAATAGCATATTCTCAAGACAGTTGACTGAAAAGACTATTTTTCGGCTTACTATTTTTTACAACAAATTTTACTTTAAAAGGAGTGAATTAATCAGATTTGAGATTAACTCTCACTAGTAGAACTGTAGTGAATATATCCAATTTGCTTAAAAGAAAATGAATCAGATCCTGAAAGGGATTTTATAACATAAACAATTGATGGAAAGAATAGGTCCTAAAATAAAGGAGTTTTTTTTTTTTTTTTTTGATCTGCTGATTTCTCAGAATTGGGTAAACTATTGCTGGTCGTATTGATTTATGCTAGAATCACTTGAAAACATCATTTGACTAGCTGTTTTAGGTATCCTAGCTTGATCTCTGTTCTGGGTGTTCTCAAACACTGAAAACAAACAAACAAACAAATAGGATTTTATAACATAAACAATTGATGGAAAGAATAGGTCCTAAAATAAAGGAGTTTTTTTTTTTTTTTTGATCTGCCAAAAAAAAGAAAAGAGAAAAAAAAAGAAAAGAAAATTAAGAATACTGGAGGGGGGCATACGACAGTAAAGGAAGGCATGCGCCCAAGTAGAGAGCAAAGTCGGAAGAACATCAAAAACAGAGGCATTCCTAGGGAAATCTAACGCTAGGAGTGTTCTTATGGTAATTTACTAAAATAAAAAGGTAAACAAGCATCCAACTTGTTGAGGCTTAGAGTATAGCACACTTTTAATACCAAACCCTCAAAAAAAGAGAAATGCTCAAAAAAGTTAAAGACAAATTATGGAAATGGAGGTAAAACAAACAATCAAAAAAAATAGAACATTCTTACTTGAGGTAGATGAAAACAGAATGAAGTAGGAATAGGGTAAGATATTATTGTTTTCAATCACTCATGTTAGAAAGTGAAGAACTGTTAGAATCATACATCTTAAAGAGAATGGAAAATAGTCCATCCTAAAAAAATGTACAAAAACGTAAATTTCAGCACTTACGAAATCACAACGAAATGTGTAAAAATTCCCCAAAAAAGGTTTAACTAAAAATTTAACTTTGACAGGCCACCACGTTGCAATATTAGTATTACACTTGTAATATTTCTAAATCTTAAATTTAAAAAATAAAATATGTATTATTTCTATTTTAAAAGATGCTTTTGGCCCTATAAAAAAACCATTCTCTGCCTATTTATTTAAGGGCTCATAGAAAATTTGATAAAATATTCAATATTTACACCAAAACAAATATACACAAAGTTCCAAATTTCTTTTTCTAGGAATACCATCTCCTAAGTGCAAGGTGCATGAATAAATAGCCCAGTGACAGGCGTAAGCTGAGCCAAGACTCAAAAACGCGTTCCGAGTCGAGGCCCATTTCAAGTCGGTTATTTCATGGGCACAATAAATCATCCGAAAGCCCACTTCCAATAGCTAAAGTAGTCATAAAAATAGGCCGATGGTTACTTTACTCCAGCGATAACATAATCCTCGGTCTTATTGTTGTGGAGCAGATGTCATTATGGGTGGGGTCGACGCGCAGAGCAGCTGAAACATTCTTGTACCACCCCCCTCACACTTTCAATGGGATAGAAAGGCTCCAAAAAGGTAAGGAGAAAGCTCTGCACGACCAGTTCCGACTAGAAATAAGGAAGTTACGATGTGGCTGTGGTCCCCGGAAAGATCACAGTAAGATTTTAGAAATCCCCCAGGATTAAGTCCTACCCTGGAAAAGGATCGTCCTTTCCTCCCCTCCCCTGCCGGCTCCTCCTCGGGACACTTGGCTGAGTCTTTCTTTCCCTCCTTCCCACGCTGAGGTGAGGCCGCACGCACGCCCGGGACGCCTGTTTTTCTCTTCGCGCGGAGGGAACTCTGCGGGTAGGAACCCCGGCGGCAGGAAGGGATTGTGGGGAGGCAAAGAAAGCTCGCTGGGGACGAGCGGGGCTGGGGCGGGGAACGGACAGGCGGGCCGCGGGGCCGACCGGAGGCCGAGGTGACGAGGGAAATCTCCCGATTCCGAGCCGGGACCGGGCGCTTCCGGCGGGCCAGTCCCTCTCGGCCTAGCGCCGCTCGCGTTCCGGGCTCCACCGGAGCGGGCAGGGAGTTAGTAGAGAGGGCAAACCGCGGCTCGCACTTGCCTGAGATCGGGTGACCAATAACTGGTAATAGTCTTTGCTCGGCGCCGGGCCTTGTCCTACAATTTCGAACAGGGTCTCCGGCAGCCACGACGCCATCTTGGGACGCCACCGCCGTCGCTAGGACAACCAGGAAGGGGCGGGGTTTGATTGAGGTCATGGGGCCAAAGC